AAATTTAAAATAAAAAAAATGGTAGCTATTTTGGCAGGAGGAGTATTAGAATTACTCTTGGACCTTGGTAGTTCAATGTATTTTTATCGTGATTGTTAGCTACTCTTAGCTCTAATCAATAGTAAAAATTCTAGCCCAAAAAAAAAAAAGGTAAAAATTCTAATTTCCATAGAAAGTGTAAGAATTGAAAAGTCAACCTAGAGTGCGCACGCATGCCTAGTCATGCTCGCTCGGATCAGCCCTTGAGGGGCGATGTATAAAGACTAAAATTCTATGGGGATTAAAGACAGGCATGTCATGGTCGTGTACTTAACTGCTCTAATTAATATAATTTTCCTCTCTTGTTTTACTAAGAAATCCATAAAACGACCAACCTTTTGATCTCAGCTATAAATATATATTTTGTTCAAAGCAGAAGAATTTACTCCCAAGGAAAAAAAGCTAGCTTAGAAACCGAGAGGATCATCCAAAGATTGAATATACCGAATCATGCCTCCCAGTTCATCAGAAGAAGAGATGATGAAGAAAAGGAGCATAATCTTCTCCAAATCTTTGTCCTCCACTTGCATTTCCAAATGCTTGAGCATATCCAAGAAGAGCACCCTTCAGTCCTTACCGTCTTTTGGAAAAGGTCATGCCATAGAGCTGCTGGTCGAGGACGAGGACGGAGTCAAGTGGCCGTTCAAGTGCTCCATAAGGAAGAAAGGTCCTCATCCGAAGGCAGTTCTTCGCAAGGGTTGGCTTAGTTTTGCAAAAGCTAAAGGGCTTAGGGTTCATGATAAGGTAACTTTATACAAGGAGATTGATGGGGTCAAGGTTTTTGGTGTTTTTTTCCCTTTTTCACGGTACACGATTGAGTTTCAAAGGGCAGCTGCTGATCACAGACGTGATATTGAGGTAGATGAAGATGAGCAGCAGAAGAGGGAAAAGGAATCTACGTGTTTGCCTTCTTCTTCTTCTTCTTCTTCTTCAATTAGCTTCACTGTTATAAGGAATGGTATAATTTGATCATGTTGATATAATTAAGGTCGTATACATTTCTGAAACTATCTAGAATTTGATTGAAGTATTTCAATCAAAATAATCTCTTTTTGCCCATTGAAGGAATAACCCTAAAACCCTAGAGATATGCCCTTTCTGTGGATTAATTTCCCTTTCTAGTTAGTGTTTCTTATAATTAAATCTCAGTTTCGAGGTTTTCCCACCTTAAAGAGAAAAAACCCTAGATGTAAATTCCCTTTCTAATTCACTATATAGTTTATTCTAACTAATTTTCTAGTTTTGAGTGTTTTGCATTCAACTGTTTATTGCATACATGTGACATGTTTAATAACAATAGATAGAATTACTATAACCCTCTCTGAGTTGATTCTATATATGTACGATGTTTGTGTTGTGTATATGTATCTTGGCTCCCTGTTCATCTTGTACATGAGATAATAGTTATCAGCAAAAAAGGGGAATTTTTAGATACAACTTATTTTGCCTATATCTTGTTTATACTGTGTGGAAATTGTTGATCTCTATATATTAATTTTCTCAGTGAAAGAGAGACTGATGAATTTCAAAATTACAATCCCAAAGATGCGTGATAATCCTTTTCTAATAGATGTTGCTCTATATGAATCAGATTTCGATCCATTAGTATTGTAGTTAGTTTATATATATTAAGGGAATAGTGATGAAAGTATGATGAACTTGTATTTCATCACACTTATTTGGTACAAAAACTTA